CGGAGGACCTGGGTTAGAACCGGCCTATAATACCTACTTATATAAAAGTAATGTGATTAAAATGAAAAAAATTATAGTGCACTATGCTTTTATTAGGTGGTAAACTTAATTCCTGCCGCTCGCTACCAGAGAGTGCCAGCTCCAAATTGGCAACGCCGGCAAGTTTCAACGGTGAAGTCGTGTGGTTTGTGTAGTTTATACATTGCTGAAAGTGATTCAGTCCTCATAGGTTAGATTTCTTGACGCCAAAGAAATTTTCCAATTGATTGAAAATGAACCGCGATAAATTCTGCTGTTTTTTTCGACATGTGCTTTTTTATTACTTCAACCTCAAGAAAATCGCAGCTGAAACGCATCTTTTATTATGAGAAGTGTATGGTGATGAAACTCCATCAGAAATAACATATAGAGTTTGGTTGGAACGCTTTCGAAACGGTAATTTTGACGTGGAAAAAAAAGAACCTCCCGGAGAACCGAAAAAATTTGAAGACCTCGAAATGCAAGAATTGCTCAATTCTCAATTAAGGATCCAGCTCAAACGGTTTTAGAGTTGTCAAAAGCATTAAATGTTACTTCAACGACCGTCTCAAAACGCTCGCACGGAAAAATTCATAAGAAAGGAATATGAGTATCATATGAGTAGTCAGAAAATGCCATTTTGAATCGTTTGTCTATCGCAACTTCTTTGCTTGCCAGACAAAGAAAAAAGAGTTTTCTGTGGCGTATTATGACTGGCGTTGAAAATAAATTTATTTTGGTAATCCCAAGCAGAAAAAATCATGAGCGAACCCCGGCCAATCATCTACTTTAATACCGAAGAAGAATATTCATGGACATAAGACCTTAGTTTGATGGAACCAGGAGGGTGTATTGTATTACGAGCTCTTGCGTCCAAATGAAATCGTTACAGTAGCTGATCGCTACCAATAACAATTATGCCAATTGAGTGAAATTGATGCAAAACAGACCATCCGTAGTCAACAATCGTAGTGCAAAGTCATTCTTTTGCATGATAACGGAAAGTTATCGCAACGCATGTTGCAAAAAGCATAGATCAGACACTTCTACAGCTTGAATGAAAAGTCCTCCTGCATCCAACGTACTCTCCAGACATGGCACCATCGGATTACCATCTCTTCCAGTCGATGCAACACACACTTACGGACACATTTCTCCAGTTACGAAGAAGTCCAAAAGTAAATGGAAGAATGGATCGCCTCGAAAGACACTGCGTTCTACTGTCGTAGGATTATTCTGATGCCAGAGAGATGGGAAAAAGTAGTAAAAAATGGAGGAAATTACTTTCATTAAGGTATTTATTTATCTTTCCTTCGAAACAAATCAATTTTGGAGACAAAAAACTGGAGGAATTAAGTTTACTACCTAATACGTACAGGGTGATTTGTATAAGGTAACCGATCATATTTTTTTAAAATTTAAAGACATGGAAAAATAATTTATACCGACATGCTCAATACAAATAAGAACATTATACAGAGTCATCGAAAAGTATCGGACCTCCCTAATATCTTCAGTTAGAATGCATTTTGGAGAAAATGTCCAATAGCAAAGTTGTATGATTTCTAGCGAGGAGTAAGATGATGACCTTGACTTCGACTTTGACCATGTCCTTCAAGGTCATTTTAAGGTCAACATAATTTTTTTAAATGGAACCCCCTACATTTTATTGCATATTCTTATAGCTTATCTCGAGAGCTTTCCAAAACGCTAGAATAAAACATTTTTTCATTAAATACTTTTTGAGTTATAAAGGTTTGAAGTTAACAATTTGTTAAGTGGCGCGATTCCGGCCAGTTAAGGCAAGAGTGGCGTGTGGATCCGGCCAGTTCACGCATTCGAGCAGCTTCTCGCGAACACTTTCGGACAGTATTCCGCCGTAGCCTACTAGCATCACCGCTTGAAATCGTACAACTTTGTTATTGGACATTTTTCCAAAATACATTCTTACTGAAAATATTAGGGGGATTCAACACTTTTCGATTAATGTATTTTCTTTAAACCAATTAATTGATCTCATTATTCCGCGCACAAAAGTATTAAGGTTATGATTACTGAAAATTAAATTTTACAAGATATTTAAATTTTACAAGATATTTTACATTTTGTGTCAAAAAATTGTTAACTTCCAACCTTTATAATTCAAAAAGTACTTAATGAAAAAATGTTTTATTCTAGCGTTTTGGAAAGCTCTTGAGATAAGCTATAAGAATATGCAATAAAATGTAGGGGGTTTCATTTAAAAAAATAACGTTGACCTTGAAATGATCTTAAAGGACATGGTCAAGGTCAAAGTCAAGGTCATCATCTTACTCCCCGCTTGAAACCATACAACTTTGCTATTGGACATTTTCTCCAAAATGCATTTTAACTGAAGATATTAGGGGGGTCCGATACTTTTCGATGACCCTGTATAGTAAAAATGTTTAGCTTAGGAAAGGGATGGAAGCGTTGACTTACTTTTCTAAAATAAAATACTATACTTTCTATTGCATAGTAGCCCTTTCTGAGGTAAATTCAATAATGTATTAGATAAAATCATTCAAGGTTAATAAAGGTCGCAAACACGTAATAAAATAAAGTCATTTATATACCTTGTATTAGGTGTACAACTTTGCTTCCGTCGTTTTCCTATAGATGACTTTAGCGGTAAGTAGTGATCGAAATAAATAGATCATAGACGTCATACAATAAACTTGAGCATCTGTTAACATAACTCCATAGAAACATTAGTCGATTTATGTCTACATCATAAAGTTATTCTTGATTGAAAATATCAGTTTACGAGCCAAATTCTCGTTATTTGCGAGAGGTTTTAATTTTCTGCTTCAATATGAAGAAATCTGCGGCTGAGGCTCATGAAATACAAATACTTATGGTGAGGCCGCTATTAGTGAAAGAACGTGTCGTGAGTGGTTTCGACGCTTCAAGAACGGTGATTTTGACGTCGAAGACCAGCATAGCGATGAAAGAGCGAAGGTCTTCGAAGATGCAGAATTGGAGGCATTACTTGATCAAAACTCGTCAAAATCAAGAAGAATTGGCACGATCATTGGGAGTGACTCAACAAGCCATTTCAAAACGCCTCAAGGCCATGGGAATGATTCAGAACAAAGGAAATTGGGTGCCGTACGAATTGAAGCCGAGAGATGTTGAACGGCGTTTGTTCGCTTGTGAACAGCTGCTTGAAAGGCAAAAACGGAAGGGATTTCTGCATCGCATTGTTACTGGGGACAAAAAATGGGTTCATTACGATAACCCTAAGCGCAGAAAATCATGGGGAGTTCCTGGCCATGTTTCCACGTCGACGGCCAAACCGAATATTCACGGCTCCAAGGTCATGCTCTGTATTTGGTGGGACCAGCTCGGCGTAGTGTATTATGAGCTGTTAAAACCGACTGAAACAGGCGATCGGTATCGAACGCAATTGATGCGTTTGAGCCGAGCATTGAAAGACAAACGACCGCAATACAACGAGAGAGACGATAAAGTGATTTTGCAGCATGACAATGCTCAACCCCATGTTGCAAAAGTAGTCAAGACATACTTGGAAACGTTGAAATGGGAAGTCCTACCTCACCCGCCATATTTTCCAGACGTTGCTCCCTCTGACTATCACTTGTTTCGACCAATGGCACACGGCCTGGCTGACCAGCAGTTCCGGTCTTATGAAGAAGTAAAAAATTGGATCGATTCGTGGATCGCCTCAAAAGATGACCAGTTTTTTCGACGCGGGATTCGTACGCTATCCGAAATATGGGAGAAAGTAGTGGCCAGCGATGGACAATACTTTGAATCATAAATGTATAACCAATTTTTTACAATAAAGCCTCGAATTTCGGAAAAAAACGGCGGAAGCAAAGTTGTACACCTAATACTTTCACTTTTTACAATAAATATTCAAAATTGTGATCTTGGATTTGACGACATAGATGAAGTCTGTGTGTCAAATAATCCACTGTTCTTCTCAGAATTTCTCCGTACACAGTACTTTCAATGTGTGCCAATCATGTTTATGATTATGTTTATTGTCTTATGACGATGCTTAGTTTCGTTGTAACACTAAACGCATAATGTTAACTACACTGGCGTAATAGTTAATTCACCAATTGTGGACATTTTGATAAATTATCATACATGTGAAAGAAATGGAACTGAAAGATTAAGAGCATTAAATGAACGATATCCAGATAGACATTGACACAATACGTTCAATATTACGAATTATATCACGAACAAAACAATTTGGTACACTTAAAGTAATAGAACCATTAACGATCATATTATGAGAAAAACAACGGAACCAAAGTTGCCGTTTTGATAACTGTTAATTTGGATCCACATACAAATATCCGTAGAATTTCGGAACAAACACAAGTTATTATTTTCTTTAATATAAATAATTTTAAGGCGTAAAAATTACCACATATACCATATAAACTTTGAGGAATAGATTTCTAAAATAGTATAAATTTTTGTGTTTTTGTGACTTGTAACTGCTGAAGTTCTCTGAACGTCCTGAATTTCTTTATCTAATCTGGAGCTATACGCTGGCACAATAGTTAGTAACATACAAAAGTTTGTGAAAAATATGTGAAAACTTTAATACCTATACTCTTATATTTTTCATAATGATATAACAAATATTATGATAGGTTATATTTTTTCCGAAATTTTAGTTTTCAAAGAGAGAATCTAACCGAGACATACTTACGTCAGCATATTATGTCCTGCAACATATAGTTACATTTAAAACATTGCATTTAAAACATTAATAATATTTAATAAACAGCAAGAGACATTTAAAATATTTTACACATAGTTACTCAAAAGCATAAGTTTTTAAATTATTCAAGATCATGGCTTAGGTAAAATTTTCAATATCAAGACTATCAAAATTCTTTTCTCAGCAATTTTACCAAATAAATTATTGTATTAAATGCTATATATTAATGTCATATTCAAACTTTTGTATGTTATAGGGGATCTGCAGATAATATTACTGTTGTTGTGATTAATTTGAAGAATCGCCAAGACAACGTATCGGAGTCAGAAAAGGACAAATGACAATTCTCGTCCATACTCTGCATGTTTAATCCTAAGGTTTCAAAAAAATCTAGTCATTAAAGTAATCTAACCTGCTACTGATAATTAAACTATTGCAGAGCTGCTATTATATGTATATATATATCATATTTACAATTTTAATCTCGATCTTGAAAACGTGGTCTTGATAACGTAAAAAATAATAATGGAAATTAACATAAAAAGATTTATATTTTTAATGTATTAATGAATAATTGTTTATTTTATTTCTACACAAAATAAATAAATAATGTTAATTATATTAATTTAAGGCGCATCTCTGATTCAACTACGATATCGCATGATTGATTGATACCACTATTTTATTTCAAGGAGCTAATTAATGATATATAATATGGCCAATATGACCATGATATGGCTATCAAATTCAAGAAGTTCAATAATAAAGTGAAAAAATAGATGTTGGTTTCATCTGTCAATTAAAGCTTATGAGTGACTGTACTTGAGCATTTGACGGATGTTAATTGTAGTTACTACTCAAATTGAAAAATTTAATAATTGTGGTTATTTGCAAAGTGATAGAAGACTTTTCAGTTTAATGCACTGTACTTTGCATATGTACTTTGGTCGTTGTTACAGTTTGAATACAACTTCCAATAATAAATAAATGTATATCTAATGCGCATATATGTATGTATACATCGTGTAATATTCATATGTGTGCAAGTGCATTACATTTATTTACATTTATATGAAAATGAAATCGCAGGTTATTTTAATTCTATCTAGGAAAATAAACATATCTAGGAAAATAAACTATCTAGGAAAATACACATATATATAGTGTGTTTGTGCGCTATATTTAAATCGTGGGCAAATAACCTCCATAAGTCTATTTACTTAACCTTTTAACCCTTGGTAAAGAATTAAAGCCGATCGGTTAATGACAGTTCAGCTAATAGCGATGGAGTACGTAGTTCGCAAATATGTTACTCTGGACTCCAAAATTATTGTATTTTCGAGGAGAGGGAATGGAATGGCAAGAATAAAATCTTCAATACAGCCGTCGTCATGAAGTGACGGGAACTCGAAAATAATTTCTAAAGAAGGGTAAGTTTTGTTATAAATATAACTTATATATTATTTATCTATACGCGTACGAAATATCAGTTAGCAAGAAATAGAAAACACAAGAAAATGTAATATTATAACTCAGATATCGGGCACTTAGAGTAGTAAGAGTATGAATCTGGGTTACCATGTTGTCACGGTTCCTCTCGGAGCGGTCAGACGAACGCTCGTGACACAGAACGGCGGAAGATGAGCTCGCCGATTTCCACGGGTTCTTGCGACGCTAGGTTTGGTTCTCGGTGAGTTCTAGGTTCGATGTGAGTGGGCGTGTGAGTGGGTGAGTGAAGCACGTCGTGAATGTGGATAACGAAAACAAAATTTATTCTGATTGCTTACAGGACTTAAGTATGCACACTTACCTCTACACTTAACTTTACACGCAAACTTACATCTAAACGCAAACTTATATCTACGCGGACTTAAATCTAAGCTTATCTCTAACGCGAGCGTCCGGTTACGGCAGCGGTGCGGGCGGACATGTTCGAATCCGCGGCGGTGCGTGGCGGGTGAGTCGGTCGGTCGAGGCTCGGATGGTATCGCGACGGGTGATCGATTGGTGATCGTATGTGTCGGTCGACCTGGAAGCGACGCGGCGTCGGAGGTGAGTGAGACGGTCCGGCTATCGGGGAGTCCAGAGCGCAGGGCAGACACGCCACCTCTGTGTCCTTTGGTTGCTGGAACATCTCGGATCAGTGAAGGGCCTCGAGAGAGGATGAGCACATTCACGTGGTCGTGCCTCCAGGAGGCCAAGAGCGCTTGGCCGAGGCGGTGAGCGCGCCACCTCTGAACAAAAGGATTTGCATAAAATGGATATAATTTTTGGACATTTTATATACAAAAACATCGAATTTGTAGGCTAGGAATATGTCTGCTACTACCCTGAGTAACATTCAAAAGCTTCTAACTGCCGCTCATTGTTTGTTAAAAAGATATTCACAAAAAAGGTACATTAATTACGCGCGCGCGCCTGCATGCGAAAAATATTTCTATCACACCAATTCATCAATAAAATATTTGTTTATATATTTCATGTATTTTTTCTTTAAAAAATGCAAGGAATGTTACATTGAGAAATTCATACAAATGCATGTTGAAAATTTGGAAGCCGCGTGTTACGTTTAGTTGCATACACACACACACACACATACTGCTGCCCTGCACACTGCTCCCTTCGCCCGCCCAACAGGGCGGGCTCGCGCTAGGTGCGTTTGTTTCTATTTTATATACATACACACCCACCGCGAGCAGTGTGTGGGTGTGTGTGTGTGTGTGTGTGTGTGTGTGCGCGTACGGCTGGCATCTTCCTAGCCTACAAATTTGATGTATTTGTATATACGGTGTCCAAAAATTACACTCATTTTATATAACTTCTTTTGTTCATAACTTTTTAATAAACAATGAGCAACGACTAAAACCTTCAGAAGGTCACTCAGAAGAGTGGCCTCTATAACATATGTCAGTCAAGGTCATAAAAGTTGGGTCCTTTTACCTATTCGGTACTTTTACCAAAATCTGTTATAAGAAATAATAAGAGAACGATAACCGATGACAACGTCGATACGACTATTTTTGCAGGATCCCGAGAGAAGACTAAAGATTTAGAAGATTTTTACGTATAATTGCGATCGTCTCTGATCGCTTCCGCGCGAAAACAGACTATCACGGATTCGGAATCCGCGCTCACAGGCTCTTCTCCGTGTTTCTTAAAGATACTGGTCAGCGGTTTTTTATATAACGCTGATGAGCCTAGTCGCGCTTGATGTTTGTGCTTGTCCGATGTCCGGTGATAGACGGATTATGCCCATTCTCACGAGACTACGATGCAAAGCTTAGCAGCGAATAATGTTACAAAAAGGGGCAATACACAAAGAATTCGGAAAGTCGCTGGGCTCTGCATTCGCACGGTAATAAGACACAATCATCAAGTGGCACGGTAGTACCGCGACGCCAAGTATACAGGGTGCGGCGCCAAAATCCGGACAAATTATACATTTTTTTCAAACATTTTTTATTGCAAAAACGAAAAGGTTTACAAAATTTTTTTAACCACATTGTTTGTAAGGTCATAAAGAACACATTTACTCAATATATCCCCCGCTTGCTTGAATGACCGCCTCCATTCTCGGTCTGAAGCGGGCGCAGGCGCGCTTTAATGTGTCATGATCCATATCGGTGAATGCCGCTTCAATAGCGGCTCTCAATGATGCGACGTTTGGATGTCTGGACTTGTTCGTGACCTTTTCAACTACGCTCCATACATATAAGTCCAAAGGATTCAAATCTACGCTGTTGGGAGGCCAGAATTCTTTCGACCAAAACATGTCGACGTTGTCCGACAACCAATTTTGCACGAAATGACTTGTGTGGGCGGGCGCACCGTCCTACTGGAAAACATACGGCTTTCCAGACGACACAGTTTCCATCCACGGCTTTACTACATTTGTCAGAACACGCAAATAAACTTCTTTTGTAACATTTTCGCTTTTATTAAAAAAATGCGGTGGCATGAATCACCCTCACTGGATGATATTGCAAAACCTTCATTGGACTTATCCGACTTATCGTACTTTGCAATAACATCATACACAGTCGATCTCGGGTACCCAAAGAACCGAATGATTTCTGTCGCCGAGCGCCCAGGGCGAACACTTTCGATAATCGCGGCTCTTCGATTATACTCCGCACTTGGTTTCAACATTGCGACTGTTTCGAGGTTATGATGGTTTAATACATGCGTCAAGCTATTTGAACGCTAATCGCGATATCTACTAGTGATATAGAACGGCGAGAATTTCAAATTGAATTTTGTCCGGATTTTGGCGCCGCACCCTGTATAAAGAAATCGTCAGATGTCACCAGGGAATGACACACGAAACATCATGGCACTACCAATAGCTTATCCGAAGTTTGCCTGTCAATCAAGCTTTTCATTAAAATTTCTCATGGTAAAACTGCAGTTTAGGGGAGTCAGCAATGACCTTGAA